TTGTTGTTCTTTTTCTAGCTCTTTGAGATGTGAGATTAGGTTGTTTCTTTGAGTTCTTTCTTGTTTGTTGATGTGAGCCTGTATTGCTATATATTTTCCTCTTATTACTGCTTTTGCTGCATCCCATACATTCTGGAAAGTGGTGTCCTCCCTGTCATTCAACTCAAAGTATTATTTAATTTCTTCTTCAATCTCTTCATTAGTTCAGTGGTCTTCCAGTAGTGTGGATTTCAATCTCCATGATGTGGGAGGGTTCCTTATTTTCTTTTCATGATTTATTTCTAGTTTGATGTCTTTATGATCGGAGAAGATAGTTGGAATGATTTTGATCTTCATGTACTGTTGATGTTTGTCTTGTGGCCCAGTATGTGATCAATTCTGGAGAATGATCCATGTGCGTGTGAGAAAAATGTGTGCTCGGATTTTTTTGGGTGCCGTGTCCTATAGATGCCTGTTAAGTCCATGAGTTCGATGTCTTTATTTAGGGCTCTAGTGTCTTTATTTATTTTTTGTCTAATTTATCTGTCCATTGGTGAGAGTGGAGTGTTGAAGTCTCCCACTATATATGTATTTTCTTTAATGTCCATTTTCAGAGCTGATAATAACTGTCTAATATATTTTGGTGCTCCTTTATTGGGTGAGTATATGTTGATGAGTGTTATATCTTCCTGATGTATTGTCCCCTTGATCATAATGTAGTGTCCATCTATGTCTCTTTTTACTTTTTTTATTTTGAAGTCTATTTCATGTGATATAAGTATAGCTGTTCCTGCCTTCTTTTTGGGTCCATTTGCTTGTAGGATTGTTTCCCAACCTTTTACTTTCATTCTGTGTTTATCTTTTGTGGCTAAATGTGTTTCCTGGAGACAGCAGAAGGATGGATTTTGTTTTTTAATCCAGAGTGCTACTCTGTGTCTTTTTATTGATGAGTTTAACCCATTTGCATTTAGAGTTAAAATTGATATGTTAGCATCTGTACTTGCCATGTTGTTTGTCTTTTTTGTGATTTTATTCCTTGCTTTCTTCTGTCTTCTTGTTCATTCCTCTGTTTGTTTTGGCTTTAGGACTTTTTGTAGAATTTTTTGGAGTGGGAGCTTAGTTGTAATTAATTTCTGGAGTTTCTTTTTGTCTGAGAAAGTCCATATTTTTTCCTCATAGAGGAAGGAGAGCTTTGCAGGGTAAAGTATTCTTGGTCGGCATTTCCTGTCTTGAAGTTTATTGAATATGTTACTCCATTCTCTTCTTGCCCATAGTGTTTCTTTGGAGAAGTCTGAGGTTAATCTGATTGATTTTCCCTTGTAAGTTATCTGTTTCTTCCCCCTTGCCAGTTTCATTATTTTTTCTTTGTCTTGGACTCTTGCAAACTTTACTATTATGAGTCTTGCTGTAGTTTTCTTTCATTGTGGTAATTGGGTGTTCTTCTCACTTCTTGTATGTCTATATGCACCTCCTTTTTTATACTTGGGAAGTTTTCTTCAATTATCTCCTTGAATAATTTCTCAGATCCTTTGTCTCTCTCCTCACCTTCTGGAATGCCTATAACTCTTATATTTCCTCTCTTCATGGAGTCTGATAATTGTCTGAGGGTATTCTCATTCTTCTTCCTTTGCACTTCTCTCTCTTTTTCCTCTTTTGGTTCTTTCTATTTCTGTGTCTTCAAGAGTACTGATCTCTTCTTCCATTTCCTCGGTTCTTTTTGCAGTGCTTTTCCAAGAACCTTTGTCTCCTCCAGTAATCTTTTAGTCTCCTCCTTTTCGTTTATTTCCTTTCTTAAGGTCTCATTTTTGTTCTTCAGCTCATTGATTATTTGTCTCATCTCATTATACTTTTTAATCATGATGATTATTAATTCTCTATCTGACAGGCAGAGAAGTTCTTCCATGTTATTGTTGAGCTCTGGTGACTGATTTTCTTTTTGTTGTGTGTCCTTCTCCTGCAGGCTTGCTTGGTTATTTGTATTTTTCCTTCTCCCTGCTGTTTGCTTTCCAATTTGTTCTATGCGTTGACATGTTGTGTCACTGGTGTTGGCCGGCATCTCTTTGGATTGCTCCTTCAGGGGTGTCGGAAACTATTTGCCAGACTGAGACCAGCACTGGTAGGCCAAAATTCCACCAGGGTGTTGATGCTGTGACTGTGTTGCTGGGCACTGTCTCTTTCAGTTCCCTCTCTCTGTATTTATACATTTCCAGTGGGAAATCAGTTAGTTGGTGATTTTGCTCTGGTCACTAGGTGGCGCTAGAGACCTGTACTTGCCGACCTGTGCTTTTCTCCTGTAGTTCTCTGAGAAGCGGAGGGGGGAGGGGAGCACCTCGACACAGGGGCTATTGCTCATGCTGGGTGCTGTGTCTGCCCCATGTTCACGCGGTGCTGTGCCCGCGGCTATGTGGATCCCATGCCCTGAATTCTGGGCTCTAGTTCTCAATCAGAGGTCTCAGATCCAAAACAATGGCTGTCACCCTGTGCGGTGTCCACTGTTATGGCACGTCCCACACCCCAAATCCTGTGCCTAGCTCTCAGTTCCAGAATGGGGTCTTGCTCCATGCCTTGTTTCCCTTCTTACCCCCATTTGCGTGGCCCACCCCCTCTCCGAGCCTGAGGATGGTTTTGGAAGCCCTGGCTTCCAACTCTTAGGAAGTTGGTGATTTTGTTCTGATCACTAGGTGGCACCAGAGATCTTTCCTAGTATCCTTCCAGAGCTGTGCTTTTTCCCCCCCGCCGTGGGTCTCTGGGGAACTGAGTGGGGGTGGCGTGGAATGGCTCAATGGCGGTGGGGTACTGTGTCTGCCCTGTGCCGCGTCATGGAGATCCCATGCCCCAAATTTCGTGCCCTAGGTCTCAGTTCTGAAACCCTCAGATTCAGGACATGGGTGGTAGCCCAGTTAAGTTGTTGTAGAGCAACCCCGATACAAAACAGGGTGCCTGACTGTGGGTCCTCACCTGCGCGCTAAAAAGGACTTATCAATGCTCTACTGCAGGCACACACAAAAGGTTAATAAAAGGTTTATTTACAAGGGAAGGGGAAATGAGGAAATGTACAGCTCAAGGAGAAAAGTGGGAGACAAAGTTTTAAATGAGTCCTACCCGATCCGCAGATCAGGAATCCCAAAATGGTGCTCTGAGAACTGGCCGCCAGCCAGGAGCCGTGAAGCCAGGAGGCGAGGTTTTTATATCCAACCTGGCTGCCCAACTCTACCCTCAGGTTCCAGCCACCTTCCCTTTCGTGGTGATGGGATTTGTCTTTCCCAATGTCTTGATGGCTTTAGTCTGGAGTGGGGGTGGGGTCCACAAAGCCTGTATGGGATTATCTCAGGACATCCTTTCCCCCTAACAAAGTGTCCACAGAAGTGGCACCTTTTGCACCCCACTCCCATGCCCAAGCACCTGGTTTTTGATTATTCAGTGAGTGTCATTTCACCTCAGTGACAGTTCCCACATGTCTCCCCATGAACCTAGATCATGGGCATGAGGACTTGGGCAGCCGCGATCCACATATGCTTTTTGAGCGAGTGCTCAAGTGCGCTTTTCCACACAAGCTTACCGGCTGGCCTTGGGCTATTTGTAGGTCTCTCCTCAAAGTCCTTATCTTCCTCTAAAGGTGCCCAGAGCCGTTCTTCTACCTCTATGGCAATTCCCACACGGTTCTCCACAGATCCCATTTGCGTGTTGCGTTGCCTGCAATAGTTCCTTTCCAACTCACAGCCCCGCTTGATCTGTAGTTTGTTCTCGTTGTTGTTGTTGTTGTTGTCGTTTTCTTTCTGTTGGTCGAAATATACCAGCTTTGTGGGTGGGGGAGGTTAGCAGGGTTCTGAGCTTTCCTCTCTTTTCATCTTCTTTTATGACAACTTTCTTCTTCGGGCAGTTTGCCAGAGTTGCCCGGATTTATCTTCCATGTCCTGGTTTTCACAGGGACCTGCTGCTTTTCCTCCCTATTAACCTTTTTTTATGGGAGGACTTACTTGCAACATTTCCCCACCGCCATGTTGATCCGAATCCCTCTATTAAAATTATTAAACTTTTTTGTGGAAATGGTTACATCACATGGAAACAGCTTGATCCTTTCAGGTCTTACATTTTTGTTTGCTGGGAGCAGATCAGTATTTAGCTAATTCATCTACTAAGGTGATATCTTCTAGTATGAAACCTGATACTAAATGAATTTTTATGTTTTCCACTCTGGGTTGGTAGAATTAGTGCCTATTCCCAGTTTTGTGTGATTATTGGAGATTATTCCCTATAAATATTTTTCAGGTGAATCTTTCCTTTGTACTTTTCCTGAACTTTCGATCTGTGTAGCTCTCTCCCCTGATATTCTACCCTGTGAGTTACAGCTGCCTTGGCCATCTCAGACTTCCAGTCTCATCTCCTTAATTCAAGGAGACTCCCAGGCTCTGCTTGGGTTTCCTGTCCCAATGCTGCAACTTGGAAATTCTCTCCAGACAGTGGAGTAGGGAAATCACAGGATTCAGATCATTTGTTTCTCAACTCATAGGGACCACTCTCCTCCATTGCCTTTTTGTCCAGTGTCTTGAGTGCCTCCATTTCATGCATTTTGCTCAGGTTTTTGTATTTCATATATTTTGTCCAGTTCAGACAGAGAATAAATCTGAGCTCTGTTGCTGAATCTTGACCAACACTAGAAGTCTTTTACTAATTAACTTTCATATGTATGTGTAAATTAACCTTTTGACTTTTATTTATCACATATAAGAATATACAGAAGCATATACAACTCAATGAATTTTCACAAACTTTATAACTATCATCCAGATGAAGAAGTAGAACATTACCATCAATCAGAGACTCCTCATGCTCCCTTACACATACTTCTCTCCCACAAAGGGAACCAGTGCCTGTCTTCTAACAGTACAGTAAATGCTAAGTTTTTTATTTCTGCTATCCTCCTTTTACTTTTCTGTCAGTGAGATTGTTTTTCATTGAAGAATTTGGTCTTCAACTTAAACAACTAGCTTGTAATTTGGTCTTATATCTATCTCTGATAGATAAATGATCCAGCACTGAGACACACAGGCCTCTACTGCAACCAGCTGTCATCCACTGACCTTCTCAAAACAGAAGCAGATGGAACCCAGGTCAGTAAGAAAATTCTAAGCCCAGAGCTGCCAAATGTGCTCTAGATAACACAGGGAATTTTGTATAGCAATGTGGTTAAGAATCTGCCCTTGGGAGTCAGACCTGGATATGAGTCCTGGTGCTATCCTGCTTAGCTGTGTCATCCTGGGCATGTTAGGGAACTTTCCTGAACTTTTGTATAACCAGCAAGACTAACCAAGATGCCTATGTATAGCGCTGTGGAGAGGGTTAAAAGAGATCCACTGCCAGAAGGCTTACCCCACTGTTCAGACAGTCTAAAGAAATCACAAAAGGTGGCCACTAGTTGGTATTATGTAAATACAGTGTTAAAATACATGTGTAATCAATATACCTCAAAAGCTCTTGGTAAAATCATACAAAATAAAAAATCTGCTATGTGCCCAGTTTCCTTTCAGAAATTTGTTTCAAAACAATACAAATAAGGATGACCACTTACCTGTATTAACACTAATTTCTTCATTTTGTAACTTTGGTTTAGTCTTTAGTCTCTTAATATTTTTTTTATTAAGGCATTATGATAAGGTAGAAATGCAAAGAAACATGAGGCATGTTTGCTTTTTAGGTAAACTGTGTAAAGAAGTGAAGAAAGGAAGTTCCATTTGTGAAATGCTTATGACTTGCCACATACTATGAAGGCATTGTTTTTATCTCATGTAAGCCTCACTGTAACCCTGTGAAGCATATAGTATTCCCTTTCTTTGCAGATGAAGAAACTGAACCTGAGGAGGTTTAAGTGCATGCACAATTCACAAAGCTAGCAAGTGGCAGAGCCAAGATTTTAAATCTAGGCCTTTTGTCAACACCAAAGTTCATGCTGTTTCTGCAATACCACTTAGGGCCTGTTGAAAGATAAACTGTATAGACATATACACATACATTGTCATGTAATCAAAGAAAACAGACTCAAATTTATGTTAAAGTAACAAGCACTGTACACATTACAATAGGAATTGCTGAGATGGTCAGAAGAACTTTACATAGGAGATAGCTCTTGAGGGACAGATAGTAAGGCAAAGAAAAGGCATTAGCTATCATGATCATCAGAGGTGAGGAGAAGACTTTTTAGACTTGGAAGTCTAGGGGACTGGAAATAGAGGCACAGAGACAGGGAAACAGTAATATCTTAGCATAATCCCAGGGGGAAAAAATCCACTGAAGGTAACACATTTATTATAAGAATTCATAGAAAGTAAACTTGGTAGGATAGATAGGGACAAATATCCAGGCACTTTTTTTTTTAATATATATTATTTATTTATTTATACAAGCACTGGGTACAGTCAGAAGCGCAGGAGGGTGAGAGAATTCACCAGAGCCAGAGCGGGGAGCAGAGCAGGCAGAAGGACTGAAGTACACTGCTGAGGGGAGCAGTGGGCAGCAGGAGAGGTCTGCGCGCCATGTGGGACCCTCCTCCAGTGGCTGGGGAGCAGCCGGGAATCAAACCAGCGCTGCAGAGGCTGTGGGCAGCCTCGCAACCCAGCGCTCAACCGCTGCGCAACCGGGAAGGCCCAAATATCCAGGCACTTTGAATGGATCTAAAGGATTTGGATTCATTCTTTCAGGTGAAGCATCATCCCTGAAAGGGAAGAGTGACAGATGTGCCAGTTCAGCTTCATTTGAGGGAGAAAAGCAGAGAGGAGCAGTAAGCAGCCAGCTCAGAAGGCAAAGTTAGAAGGTTGTGCCTGTAGTCTGAGTACTAGGAGATAGTATTTGAATTCTGTGAAGGTGAGGAGAGGGGGTTTTGTGATGGGGAAAATGAAGTCTTCATTCACAAGACTTTTTTAAAAGTCTTATACCCACAGTGATGAATACTAGCAACTTAACACATTAGTTAAAATAAAACAACTAAGTTTTAAAGTTTCTGAATCCTGGGACATTATGTGAGTTGAAGTTAAAATTGTGCTAGGAAATTTTAATTTCTTCTCAACTGGCAAATTTTAAGCGTTATTTATGTCTTGCTTGCCTGTCTGTGAAGGTGAGACAATATCATAAGTCCTTTGAAGTCTGGTCTAAAGCTCCCATTTTTAATTAACAGTTCAAAATGACTAAAATGTGTACTTTTTACAGTTTGATTTAATTGCTTCAATTTTTTTAAATTTCAGAACACATCTATTTTTTAAAGCATTTTTGAAGAGCAAAATTTTCTCTTATTTGTTTTATGCATTTACTGAGAATGTTTTTAAGTGTTTAGGAACAGAAACACCTTATATTCTGCCCCACTGTTTCATATTTTGAAATATATAAACATTAAATTTTACATGTTAATTTTTTTTAAATCAGCACCGAAAAACACTGAAGTTTTCAGTAGCAAAATCTTCCTGTTGAGCCCATCATGACATCTCTGATTACCCCAGTGTTTTTTATTTGCCCAATGGAAACTGGAAAGTGAGTCTGACAGAAATATGGAAACAAATATATGTAAAAAGAGAAGGAAAAGAATAAGTTGAGGAGGACCTGGGGAGGACTGGCTATATTTAAGAGCTGGAATGGGGAGGTGGCAAGACCAAGGAGAGAAGGGGAGAACACAGAGAATTGAGAAGCAGGAAAAGGGCTAGAGGGGGCTTGTTAATGTGGGGTGAAAGGAAGGCCAGAGTGGAGCACTGGATGCAAACAGTAGGAATGAGACATTAGGCAGCACAGGTGCAGAGAAGAACAGAGGCAGAGAATAGACTCAGACAGAAAGGAGGTGTATTTTAGAGAAAGAATCCAAAAGAAGACAGATGGGAGCATACAGGGACAAGGAACACAATTTGGAAACTAGAGAAAGAAGAGGATAGGAAAGAAATGACACTGATTTCACTAGAGGTTTAATTCATCAGATTAAAATAGCTCAACTCAAGTGGTGTCCACTTTGGCTTAGAGAGTAGCGTGGAGGCATGGATGGACTAGACTGATGCGGCAATTGGGTGGTCAATGAAGATTGATGGAAGACAACTTTTAGTGAATTAGGATAGAAAAGTTGTCCCAGAAGTTGAGTATAATTAACATAAATTAGTAATGAATGATCAAAAAAATGTATGACTAATCTGCAGTACTTCATGGACTTATTAAAATGAGGCAAAAGTTTGCCAGAAGCAAATGCACTTGGATGTCATAGAAGACATCTCTTTTCTTGACTTGGAACATTCAAGAATGTGATACTGGCCTTAATCAGGTCTACAAATGGCTTTGAATAAGGCTGACTGGTAAAGACTAACTTCCGGCTTTGTTTTCCCAATAGAAAATGCTAGAACTATGCAACTTTAGGCATTTTGAAGGAAAACATGTATTATTACTGGAAGTAGTTAAAGGGAAAATTCACACTGTTCTCAGCTAGTTGTTTACCATTATTTTTAGCTCATTTGTTTAAATGGATTGTCTATCAGGAAAAAGAAGTTAAATATAAAATTGTTCTACTAATATTTTGCTGTAATTCTAAAGGCAATGTATAAAGGAGCTATGTAATAGTATATTTAGCTACCATGCAAATCTGGACATTAGCTTTAGTAATGCTGATGTCATATTATTCAGTTGTGGTGGTTTTATTTTGCTAATACTGGGTTAAAGCCCTTAATTTCCTAACATCTTAAAGATCTATTTATTCTACTCAAGTCATCCATAGAGTGCTGTTAAACCAGTTTTTTCAAATAATATATACATATATTTTAAACCCACCACTGGATACCCAGAATCTGAAACTGGGCTTTTCCCAATCTTGGCAATATTAGCAGTGATGATCACATTCAGTACTGATGGCAACCCTGTAGGAGGCTTGACCATTCCAATTTTGATATTAATTTTAAAGTGTGAACTTTCCAGAACCCTGAGCAAAATGAGTGCAGCGATTTTCTTTTTGTAGGACAAGAAGACAGAAGAGTTCTTCTCTGTGGTGACTACAGACTAGAGGAATGCTCTAGTGAGTTTCCACTTCAAGTAGTACCCACTCATAAGCCGGGGGGGCAGACCCTTCTGTCTAAACACATCTTTTATTTGTGTTCCAGCAGGTGCAACAGGTTCAGGTGTTTGCTGACGTCCAGTGTACAGTGAATCTGGTAGGCGGGGACCCTTACCTGAACCAGCCTGGTCCACTGGGAACTCAAAAACCCACGGCAGGACCACAGACCCCCCAGGCCCAGCAGAAGAGCCTCCTTCAGCAGCTACTGACTGAATAACCACTTTTAAAGGAATGTGAAATTTAAATAATAGACATACAGAGATATACAAATATATTATATATTTTTCTGAGATTTTTGATATCTCAATCTGCAGCCATTCTTCAGGTCGTAGCATTTGGAGCAAAAAAAAAAAGAGTTCACTTTTGTTGGGAGATTGAGAGATGTTTTTGTTTCTTTGTAAAGGCCTTGGATATCGAAAAAAATAACAAGGCAGAACAGTTGGACAATCTATTTCTTGAGCCAAATTTAATTATTCTTATTTTTGTAATCAGTCATTGGCTTCTTATCTGGATGAAGGCTTTTGGAGGAGAACCAAAACAAGTTCCAAGGGGGAAGATGATGCTCCGCCTCCACTGGCTCAGTCCGACCCTGCCGAGGAAGACGGTCTGGTGGGGCTCTCCCCCTGCCTGTCCATCACCGGCCATCACGGGTCTCTAAATCAGCAGCCCTTCGCTTCCTGACCCAGGCAGCTTGTGTGTACAATCAGCTTCTTCTAGCAACTCTGTATCTGTTGGCTTCAAGACAATATTTTGCCTCCACATATATACCCCTTCTCCTTTTTTTAAAGATGGATTTAAACCACGATGCCTCCAGGAACGAGGACAAAATGAGTATAATCATAGAGGAATCCAAAAAATACAGTTTGGGGGAAAATGCAATAATTTTGATGAGGTTGGTGAAGGACAAGAAGCGAGTTATGTCAATTATTGTAGATACCTTTTCTGATTAAATCTGGGGGGAAAAAAGGCAGCCTGTTCTTTCTGCTTTTATTGTATTAACAGCTGAGGTAGCTAAAGTTATTTAAAATAAAATTAAATTTATGATCCTAGTAGCTTATTTTTCCCTTTAAATCTCACTGTAAATATATTTGATTTCTTGTAGAAGTTGATTTCCATCTGTTAATTTTAAGATTTTATTATCATACTCTTCATTTTTCTAAATATGTGTGTGAAATATAACATTGATTGAATTGCAGTTACATTTGGCTAATAATATTTCATTATTTTAATAACTGTGACATCATGTTATGGATTTACTTTGGGGTTCAAATAAAAATGCCACTGCCAGAAAGAGCTATTCTGATGAGCTAGAGCACACCGCCCTAGAATGTCCCTGGGATCATCTAACTTGAGAGCAGTGCAAGGAATTATCACCAGAAGTGCACAGGCTACTTGTACCGAAAAAAACTAGCACTCAAAGAAGTCTTCAATTTTTTTAAATTGACTTTGGGAATTTGAATTTTCATCAGTGCAAACATAAATTTCTCTATTCTGCTCTGAGGCGAATTGGTACTATATTTTACCTTTGTGTCTTGTCACTCGGCCACATCCTGTTTCATCCTGGCCTCTGAGTCAAGGACCCAGTGAACTGACTTTCTAGTTCTAGAAGTTCAACTGCAAGGCCAGGAAAGCTTGCGAAGGGTACTGTGGAAGAAGCAAAGGTAGAGCCCCATCATTCGCCTTTACCTGTGCCCCTGGGCCTGTGTTGATGACAACACCTGACGTTGTGCACCAGCTACCTCTGCTTCCACGGCAGAGAAAAGGCCATAAGAACTAACAACGGAAGAGGAGCATGGACTCAGACATCAAGGAAGAAGCCATTTTCCCAGTTCCTCCTTTCTGCATCTCACCACCCCTAGTTACAGATAACTCCATTGAACAGCATCTATTCAGAAACTACACCGAATAAAAAGATTGGTGGAAGGGCTCGTGTGGGTAGCAACTATGAAACAGAAATAGGACACTCAGTTACAAACATTATCTCTTTAAGTTTCTCAGAAACTGCATCCCTGATTTCATTCATTCCCAGCTTGAAAGCTCAGCCATATTACTCTGGTCCCTACCAAACTGCTCTAGGAGGTCATTTCTGTTTTGTTTGTGATATTTAGTCGTGCAGACTTCAGGAAGTCCACTTTTAACTTCAGCATTCCAAATGAAGTTTCCTGACTCAGTACTTTTGCATAAGGAACTAGAAAAAAAAAAAGGTAAGGAAAATTGGAGATGCTAACATCCTCCCCATCCCAACTGCACCTTAAAGTATGCATGTCACCTTCAAGGTTTTATAATTGCACTGTTTGTTTTATGTATGTACAGATTAAAATTATTGCTACATTTGAGGAAAATAAAATTGCTTGCTTCTATGTAATTCCTGTCACTCTACAGGAAATTAACTTTTCCAGCTACTGAATAGAATTTGTTTAACAACCTCATGGGTTGCCTCTTCATTTACAGGGAAGAACTGAAACCTACCTCCTGCAGGAGTTGCCACAACCCATAAAGACAAATGAGTAATTCAAGGGTAATAAAAGAAAGGAAGCCAAAATCCTCTAGTTCACCCTTTTATGAACCATCCCAGTGAAACTTAGCCCAAATGAAGTCATGATAGAGGAAATTCTAACTTTGGCCATTTGTCTGATGATGAAATGCTCTGGTCCTGCTGTTTCTTCACCCAGAAGACCTGATTCAGGCAGCACTTCATAGATACCAGATACCACCCATGTGTCTCTCCTTCATTGGTTTTCATGTACTGATATTTGCTATTATTACAGATTATAAAGATGTGGGATCTAACCTGAAGAGGCGCCTTCAGTTTGGAGATGCATTTTATAAAATCCTGGCCCTGGCAGCCTAAATCCACCAACACATGGCCTAGGAGGATAAGCAAATGCGATTCTAGAGGGCAGGGGAAGATGTATATCCCACACACATTCTGACACATAACTGCACACAGATTTGGGCAGTTGCTGTCTGAACTCATGAGGGAACAAAACCTTTTTCCTTAAAGTTAGAATGAGGTAAAAATGATACCTCTCTGAGATGTATGCTGATTTAAACTTATCCTCTGGGGTAGGGAGGCCATTAGAAAAATAACCAGAAGCAATTGAGGAAAAAGTGGGATTGATATAAAGAAACTTCATCATCTTTATGGTTTGCCTAAAATAGGTTCCTGCCTAAAAATTCTCTCCTGGGCCCTGACAAGGAAAGAATGGACAATTGTCTGCTTACAAACGAAGTTGTGCTGATTTCCTTGTTGACTTTAACTGTTCTTCCCAGAAGAGCAGCTCCACTTGAATCAAGTGAATAATTAGAGCAAGCTTGATCCATGACCATTCCTGTACCTCTGGAAAATATCTTGATGATTTTAATTAAGCCTATAAATTCTTTTTATTAGGGAAAACTGCCAAAGGAAGCATTCCTCCATCCAGAACCTTTTTTGCCAGCACTAAATTAGTTTCCTTTATATATTTTCTTTTCATTGCCTCAAGAGCTTTTAAGATTGAAGAAATGCAAACCTCTGACCTCATTCACGCATTCAGCACATTTTACTGTTGTTATCCAAGGCACTCGGGATGTGGGAGGATCCAGGCATGGACCCTGCCCTCTCAGAGCACAGATCCCATAGAAAGAGAGGCTTACATGGTAACAATCACAATTGGATTAAATGGCATAAAGTATAAAGGAGAGTTAGACATTTCTTTGGGAGTGAAACCCTGTCTGAACCATCGAGGAAGGTTTCCCTGAGGGAAAAATGGTATTTGCAGTGAGATTTGCAGGATGGTGAGGAAGTAGCTCAGTGAAAAGAGGGTGAGAAGATTCAATGGAACAGCACACGTGAAGGCCTGGAGATAGGAAAGGGCCCCAGAGAACTAGTTTTTTAAATTGTTACCCAGTGTTCTCAGAAACGTTATTAGACATGTCAGCCCATGGAATGGAGTGATTTCAGTCAGTCTTTGGCACTAGGAGAAACGTGAACTAGACTTTGTTACTGTCAGTGGGAGATTGAACCAGTCAATAGCTAAGGTATTTTTCATAACTACCCCTATTCAGCCAGAAGGACATGTTCTCTATCTTTTACACAGTAATCTGTTACAGCACATACAGTGTTTAAATAAATTTGTACTGTAACAATTTGTAACATGCTTGTAAGTACAAGGTCTCATTGAATCTGCGGGCCTTTGAGAGAGTTGTCAGAGGAAAAAAACTAAAAGTTTATGACACAAACATGTTTGATGGTGGAACTGGGACTTGAAAGAAGTCTTCTAATTCTAACTTCAGATGATTCGCTATCCTATGGTATGCTTTAGGACTGATTTGGAGTTTGCAGACTGATCTCTGACCTGTTTTCTTACATGAAATAAGTTTTAGAAACAGGCTATGATAAGAGGGGTGAGAACTCAAGAACACAGATGAGGGGACCCAACCCCTCTCTGCAGGCAGGAGAGCCCTGTGGAGACTCAAGTGAGTGAGCTTTGGCATGAGGTGGGCAGGGTGTGCTCTACAGCTTTGGGAGTGGCATTCTGTCCCTATAGATCTAACGGGAAATGTAGAAATGGAAGTAAAACCCCAGTGTCAGCTTAAAAAAAAAAATTGGAAAATATAGATTCCTGCAGGGCAGATAAAAAACAACTGACAGAGGGTCCTCTTTATGAGGCAGTGGAATTTAGCCCTACAGTTCCCCCCTAGGATTTTGGAGTTCTTGGATCAGATCATGGAAGCATTCACTTTTCTCTGACTTTTAATCCTTCATTGTCTTTCCCCTTTGCTAGACTTTGGCTTTGTGATCATTTGTGCTTGTCGCAGAACTTTGGCACTTTGTGCAACCAGCAAGACTAAGCAGTGCCCAAGGGCATCCAGGGCAAACCTGAAGACAGTGACCTGAGAAAGAAGAACTAAAGTGTTAGGAGGAATTTCAGTTCCACCAGGCATTCCTCCTGATCCAATGCCCTCAGGTGCTAAGGTGCAGAATAAAACAAAAAGCCTCAGACCAAGGTTTTGAGATTCCATTTTTTTGATGCGCTGTTACAGTACACGCTCTAACAGACAGCATGGGAAGCACAGAGGGCACCTGCCTGAAGTGTCTTCCTTCCTGATAATGGAGATTTGACATCAGTGAAGAAACACTTTTCATTTCTTTTCCACCAGGCAATACTCTTAGGCTAATATTTTTTAGTTTGTACAGCACTTTAACTTACAGTATATCATTTGATCTTCAAATTCCTATGAAGCAATTAGAGTTGATTGTAGCCCTATTTCACAGGTGGTGAAGCAAGCTCAGATTTATGGCCAGGTGGCTAGGCCATCCTGGCCCAAGAGTAAATCCATGGGCTTGGGGATGAAGCCTGCCACTGAATAGCACATTACAACTATGAGAGGAAAAAGCACCGTTAGCCAATGACATTTAAAAACTGGGACTCCTGGGGCCTCCCTGGTGGCGCAAGGGTTAAAGACAGCGCTATCAAGATATCTACAGCCATTGCAGCACGAGTTCAATCCCTGTGGCCAGGGAGCTACCCACATGGCGTAGCAGACCTCTCCTGTCTCATCTGCTGTTCCCCAAGGCAGTATATTTCAGTCTATCAGCCTCCTCTGCTCCCCACTCTGTCTCTGGTGAATCCTCTCACCACCCTACCCCCTCTGGCTTACACCCCAGTTCTTGTATGCATAAATAAATACATATTTTTTAAAAATCTGGGAATCCTGGTGAATTAAAAATTGATCTCTGGAACTCAAGTTCCTTAAAAGCTTGTAGGAAATTTTTAAATAAATCTGGGCACTAATTTTGAGTTTGTTAAAATACGTTTTTTTTTTTTTTTCAAATTTTCAATTTGCATGAGGATAATAAAGTTACTCCCCCTAAAAATTTTCATCTTTTCCTTTGAAATCAATACACTTACATGTGTATGCATCTGAAGTCCGCTGTTCTGTGCAGAGTGTCAAGACCCAGCCCTGAATTTCTCACCATTCATGTAGTGAACATTACTGCCTGAATGGATCCCACCGCCCTCCAGAGCACCTCAAAACATAGGTCCCACACCAAGGGACTTCCTGCCTTACAAATAGATTGTATCTTTCATTGAATTGACTGCATCATCATTCTTCAGTGGTCACTTTCAACAGCTTGCTCCCTCCCACTTGTCTCACTAAATGAGTTCCAAGAAGGTATCCTTTCTTCTTGGAACTTCTTCTTACTTCTCCTTTCTAACCCCTATGAATCACTGAATTCAAAATTAAAGTATATTCCTTTGGACAATTAAAATTACAACCTTCATGCCTCTTACCTTCAACAACATACTCATCAGATCAGTCTTTTTAAAAAAATTTATACACACAAGAACTGGGGTACAGGCCAGAGGTGTGGGGGGTGAGAGGATCCACCAGAGACAGAGTGGGGAACAGAAGGGCAGACTGAGTGAAATACATTGCTGAGGGGAGCAGCAGGTGGGCAAGACAGGAGAGGTCTGCTGCACCATGTGGGTAGCTCCCTGGCCAGGGATTGAACTTGTGCTGCAGTGGCTGTGGACAGCCTCATAGGTTGAGTCCTAACCCCTTGTGCCACAGGGAGGCCCCCGCATCAGATAAGTCTTTCTAAACACAATCTTCAGAATCTGCCAAAGACTATTTCTTGCCTGTCTAAAGACATCTGAAGTCAGCCTGCCTTTTCAGCTTCATTCCCCGCTACACCCTCTCTAAACAAATGTTCTTTATCCTGGAATTTCCCATGTATGTTCTTACTTCCCAGGCCACATTCATTCCCTTCACCTATAATACGGCTTTCTGCTTCCTACTCTTCAAAGCCTCAATCTAGATACCCTTTCCAAGATTTCCCTAGTCCCCACACATTAGGCCTGCCTTTTGTGCTATCTTTTTTTTTAAGATTTATTTTGTTTGTTTATGCATACAAGAACTGGGGTGTAGGCCGGAGGGGGTAGGGCAGTGAGAAGATTCACCAGAGACAGAGTAGGAGCAGAACAGGCAGATCTACTGAAATACACTGCTGAGGGGAGCAGTGGGTGAGACAGGAGAGGTCTGCTGCGCCTTGTGGGTCAGCTCCCTGCCCAGGGATGGCACTCATACCTCAGTGGCCAGAGATAGCTTGATAGCGCTGAGACTTAGCCCCTGCACCACCAGGGAGGCCCTTCTTTTGTGCTGTCTTGCTGCAATTGTTTGGGCCTCCATTTGGTACTTGGTTGTATATACACAGCTCTCTCCTCCTCCAAGGTGTAAGCTTCTTTAAAAAGTCCACATCTCTTTTTTTCCCCCTCAGAGTCTTCCACAAAGTCAGCTTCTGCATGCTGGTTGACGATATAGATTCAGAAGCAATATCCTAAATAAGGAAGAGGAGTTGATGGACAGACCAGGCACTGAATTGTCCCCCTAGTAACTGGATTGTTGAACTAAGAGAAGGTTCAAATTGTCCAAGAGTTCAAGACAAGGTCAAGATTCTATCTTGATTTTTCCTTTTTTCATGGAATGTGAGCAAATGCATGTCCTTTTCATTAGAAGATTTTGAAAGTCCCACATATTTGGAGAGTGTACAGAAAATTAGCAGTTATCTTTATTCATCCTGTTCTTGAGTTTTACATTTGTAGATTGATACAAGCTTCTTTTAAACCTTTTAAGCTTTTCTCAGAAATGACCTCCCCACTGAAAATCAGCTGACTGGGTTGACTGAGAAAATAGAGGGGCAAATCAACAGAGACAACCCCAGTTTTCTCTCTTAAAATGAGTATATAGAATGCCCTGCTATCTCTTTCACCAGTAATGTAATGCATGGAGAGACAATTCATGATGAAATTAAATAATGAGATGGCTCTTTGTGAACTCCCCATTAGACTGGCCTTTTAAAATAGTGCCTCTGAAAACTGAGCGACTGAACTTGAAAGTAGGCAGATGGAATAGGTCAATGGAAGACCTTCCTCTAGCAGAACTAATGTGTTACCTTGAATTTCTTTCCTCACATCTAAAGTGCTATCCCTGCTAAGTTCTGCTTTGTTTGTTTTCAAATCTAAAGTAATTTATCTTATGCCTGTCTGTACTAAATTTTAGGCTGCACATTTCCTCTTCACTGTCCTTTTTAACTTGCAAGCTTTCATAAAATAGGCATTCATTTTTAAAATTAGCATTCCCTTTTAACATTCTTCTGATGCCAGTGATTGTATTTTAAATGATAATTACTAACTAAGCTAGACTTTTAAAGTTCAACCAAAATCAAATGGGGAAAAGGCTCCACATGGAACATACTCTATTTAAAGACTCAGGCATATCTAAGCTTAGGCTTCAAAATTTTATTCTACCTTCTCTTGAAAGCTTTTTGAAAGTCTTTTATTAAAGACATTTGCAAGCATATGTGAAAGTATAAAGAATAGTGTAATGAATCAATCCTAAGTTTTTTAAATAAGTCTTTGATATGTGATTTTTTTTTTAAAGATTTATTTATTTATTTATTTATTTATACAAGCACTGGGTACAGTCAGAAGCGCGGGAGGGTGGGAGAATTCACCAGAGCCAGAGCGGGGAGCAGAGCAGGCAGAAGGACCGAAGTACACTGCTGAGGGGAGCAGCGGGCGGCAGGAGAGGTCTGCGCGCCATGCGGGACCCTCCTCTGGTGGCTGGGGAGCAGCCGGGGGTCGAACCGGTGCTGCAGAGGCTGCAGGCAGCTTTGCAACCCAGCGCTCAACCGCTGCGCCACCGGGGAGGCCCTGATATGTGATTTTTTAAAAGATTTTATTTATTCATGCACACAGGAACTAGGGTACAGACCAGAGGTCAGAGGGGTGAGGAGAGGATTCACCAGAGAGAGTGGGGAACAGAACAGGCAGATCTACTGAAATACACTGCTGAGGGGAGCAGCGGGTGGGAGACTGGAAAGGTCTGCTGCGCCATGTGGGTCAGCTCCCTGGTCAGGGATCGAACTTGTGCCGCAATGACTTCCCATAGCTTGATAGCACTGAGACTTAATCCTTGTGCCACCAGGGAGGTCCCAGATTCTAGATATATTTTGAAAGTAGAGACAACTTGCTGGCAGATCAGATTGGAGTGTGAGAGAATTAAAAGTGAATCCTAAGATTTTTGACCGTAACAACTGGAAAGATAGAATTTGCATTAACGGAGATAGGGAGAGGAGCAAGTTGAATTCATTCTGTCATGATGAGTTTGAGATTCCTGTTGGACATCCAAGAGTAGGTATCAACTTAGTTGGATATAGATGGATCTGAAATCTAGCATTTGGGGCTGAAAAATCAAATATAGGTGATTTTTAAGATTGATTTATTTATACAAGCGCTGGGTACAGTCAGAAGCGTGGCGGGGTGAGAGAATTCACCAGAGCCAGAGCAGGGAAAAGAACAGGCCGACCGATGAAGTACACTGCTTGAGAGGAGCAGCGGGCAGCAGGAGAGGTCTGCGTGCCATGTGGGACCCTCGCCGGTGGCTGGGGATCGAGCTGGCGCTGCAGAGGCTGCGGGCAGCTTCGCAGCTCAGAGCTCAACTGCTGCACCACCAGGGGAGGCCCAATATAGGTGATTTTTAAAAGCATGAGACTGAAAGATAACTGGAACCCAGGTCTCCTAACGAGGCTACCTCTCTCGTGTTAAATAACCATGCCAACGCAGGGTTTATTCCCAGAACAAAGATGGGTCAATACTTGAAGTCTTGCAATGCAGTTCACCTCAGTGACAGCAGAGAAAAACCATATGATCATCTCAGTAAATGCAGAAAGATATTTGAAAAAAATCCATATATGATTTTTGTAATTTAGCAAACCAGTGGCACAAGGGACTTTCCTTAATCTAATACAGAATATTTTCTGAAACTCTCAACAAGTAACTACGAGTGAAGCTCTAAAAACATTCCCATTATAATCAATAGCAAGTCAACAGTAGCTATTAACACTGATATTATTATTCTAGCGCTTCTAGCCAGTGCAAGGACCTGATCTGCCATCCACACAATGCAACAAGATGAGGGGTGATGATTGCATGGAGAGACAAATTGTGTATTGATATTTATTTTTGCTTTTTTGGAGTGTTGTTTAGTGACCCTATTAGAATTACTCACAGGTAAGGGAATT